TATCAAAAATGCTAAACACAGCGAAAAAAAACGAGCCTCATTCTCCTGGCCACGAAAGAGCTCTTAATTTCGCAGCGTTGCGTAGGACGAGTACCGAGAGATTGCTAAAATCTCAGGGCCAATGGAAACTACCTGGATCACGAAGAACTAAGGTGACGATCTGTACCTACAATGCATGTACACTTGCACATCCGAGTTCTCGAGAGAAGACTTGCTCATGCGAGCAAGAAGGGTAAGGTACGACTTCATCGGCCTGGCCGAGACGACACGTCGCCACCCATTCAACGCCGTCTATGATACCAGAGAAGAACTGTTCCTCGGAATATACGACAGCAGAGGAGTCAGCGGCATCGGTGTTCTCGTCAGCAAAAGTTTGTCTATGAATACCGATTCATTCGAACAACTTACAACTCGAATCGGACATTTACGACTAAAAAAGCGTAGATCAATTCCGGCTTTGACAATCTTCGTCGATTACCCGCCGACATCAAACTATGACGAAGAAGAAGTCGAAGCGTTCTATATGGACATGGAGAAGTTCTACAGAGAATACCACACATTCTTCAGGGTCATGATTGGAGATTTCAACCCCAAGATTGGACCAAGAAGAACGTCTAAAGAATGCTAGATTGGGACCCACGGATTGGAATGGAACGAACAGGGTGAGCGGCTGTTTGAGTTACTCACTGCGACCAAGACAATCTATGGTAACTCGCAATTCCAGAAGCCCCACTCTCAGCGCTGAACGTGCAAGTCTCCCAATGGAGAGTACCACAACGAAATAGACCACATTGTAGTAAATAAAACGGTTTCCTAACCGATGTCGCTGTTGTCCAAGACCTGCAAGACCGTGTCGTTGTTGAAGAAGGGTGACCTGCGCGATATCGGCAACAATCGCCCAATCTGCGTACTGCCTGTCGTCTGCAAACTTTTCACTCGAGTCATCCTAAGCGGAATTGACAAAACGCTAAGCGAAGGACGGCCATGTGAGGAAGCGGGGTTTCGAAAAGGATTTAGTACGATGGATCACATCCACATGGTAACAAGGCTCATTGAAACATCGCGAGAGTACAAAAGACTGCTCTGTCTCACTTTCATCGATTTAGAGAAGCCCTTTGACTCAAATGCAGTCACGGAAGCCCATTATATTCAAGTAGTCTCTACTCAGTACATAAAGATTCTTCGTGAGCTGTACAAAAATTTCACAACCAAGGTATCACCATTCTACAACGAGATTAACATTGACGTCAAAAGAGGAGTTAAGCAAGGTGATATCATCTCGCCAAAATTACTTACCGCCACCTTCCAGAACGTCATGCGAACATTGGAATGGGATAATATGGGAGTGAAAATCGACGGTTTCACATATCCCATTCACGCTTAACAGAACGTATATCTCTGAATGCTCCAGTTATATCTATTTAGGTCGGAAAATCAATGTGATGAACGACCTAGCTCCAGAGCTGAGCAGAGGGAAACGAGCGGCTTGGAGAGCTTTCAAGAGCACCGAGGGTATAGTGAAAAGAACAAAGAACACCCGACTCCGTGCCCACCTTTTCGACTCAACGGTACTTCCTGGCCTAACGTATGCGTCAGAAACCTGATCGCTGCGTAAGCAGGGTGAAAGGGGTCACTCAGCGTATCGAACGCGCCGTCGAAAGGACAGTGCTAGGAGTATCCGTTCCACGCAAGTAAGGGATGGGATCCGTGGCTCCCATCTGAGTCAACGATCAAAAATCAAAGATACCGTTCTGTATGCAAAACAGTCGAAGATAAGGTGGGCCGCGCACGTAATGCGTATGAATGACAACCGATGGACAAGAGCCGTTAGTGACTGGATTCCTCGGGTTGTCAAGCGTACTGCAGAAAGACCACCGACTCGATAGTCAGAGTTCTTCACAAAGAGCCTTAAAGAAAGATATGATGCTCGACGAGTCCCTAGAGCGAGCAGAATCCACTGGCTACTCTTGCACGCGACAGGGAAAAATGGAAGATTTACTGACGCCCGCTCGAGTCACTCGACTATCAACGGGACTACATGTGATATATATATATACACATATATATATACGACCTGTCTTTCAAATCTATTGTGCTGTTCCTAACAGTTCCTGTAATCACTTCGCTTCCATCATTTCTTTCCATCATTCATCATTTACGTACGTTTTCGAATTTTCACGTGTGGTTGCTGCTTAGGGGTTTTCCTTTCGTCATGAACGTCGTTGAAAACTGGTTGAATTGATTCTCCCTGTAGTATTGAGACAGCCAGTCTAGAGCGTTCGCACTTTGATTGCAGAGGGCGGACTTTTCCCACAAGTACCAACTTCCCGCCCCGTAACGATAAGAGGAATAGTGAGCCAGGGTAGTGGTCGAAATTGCTCCGTGCTCGTGACGATCGGTATCATTAGCACTGTTCTGCAGGCCACTTATTTGTTTAATATGCATACATAGATTTGTGCTTGCAGAAGGAAAAAAATAGTTGTTAAGCTCACCCCATCGCAGCAAAAGCGATCAACTCGGACGACATGAATGAGTCAGTTAGTGAGAATGTCGTCTGATAGTGAGCGGCTACAGAAACTGAGGCTAAAATCGAGGTTTTAAGCGAACCAAGGAAACATTTTAGGTAACAGATTATTAGAGCGTCATAAGTGAACGCTGAAGAACAAAAGTCTTAGTGTTCCATTCTTGTTTTCAAACCGTTGAACGAGACTCTAGGAATGCAAGCAATAATCTTTATGCCTTACACAAATCGGCCCAATCCGACAATTTTTTACCGGATCCTCTACGTAGTCCTTGTAAAACGCTGAAGAGCGTAGCGCTACAAGTGGCTGCAAAGAAACCTCGCCAATAGTTCCGGACAGCAAAGTAGGCGGCTGTGACTTCGATAGAAAATAATACACCTAAATTTTTTATTATGAGGCAATCTGACACCTTCTAAATAGCAAACAAAACGTAACACTTAACAGACAAAGTTCGATTCTTAGAATTAATAACTGGTATAAGCTTGATGTCTTTTTAAATTCTCTGGAAATATGTTTCCTACCGAGACCGTGTCTAGCGTCCGGCTAGGAGTGCCCTGCTATACACAGTGGTCGTTGGCTCGATATTGTTCGCAGTATTCACCAAACTTTCCATTCCTCTGGGGTTGGGTCAGCACATTCGTTACAGACTTGTCTTGGAGGATGAAAACACTGACTCGATACATCGGTAGGCTAACACAGGACATTTCTTATGCAGGACTAGACATGAATTCAACCACATCTGATGTCGCATAATGAAGTGGAATTCATCGCGCATCCCTTACAGATTGAATAACGCCAAATGCCTTATGCTTTTAAGTTTTATAGTCTACAATGTTTTGTTGTAAAAAATTGAAGTTTCTGGACGAAAAATAATCGACAGAGCCTTATATTCTCACACTGCGAAAGCTGAGGAGTTTAGCGTTCTACATCCTGATTAAGTTCATTTTCTCTGGTTTTCTTCACTCCATACACGCGATTTCGGCACGGAATTGTTTGGATTATGGATTTTATGTAAATGCAGACAAACACTTCGACAGTGAAAGACGTAGTAAGCTATCATTTTACGAAGAGAAAAAATTGATTTCTTGCGATTGATCACGTCAATATTTTTATTCGCCGAGTAGATCTGGTACAAATCTGCCGACTTTGGAAGGTAAAAGTGCTTAGTTTGCACGTGGAGTGGGATCGCACCTAGACCAAGGTGTATATTCCGGACCACGCCTAGCCTACGAGCTACACGTACATTAAGGAAAAAAAAAAGAATTACTTGGTGAATGCTAATTTTTGGACACATCTCTGAAATATTTGAGTGCTTTCCACCGTGGATAGCATTTTTTTTTTGCTACGAAGATGCCCCAATAACCATCACTTAACTTTCACCGCCTAGCTTTTGTACATTTGCCACTTAATAAAAGTTATCACAATCACAAGGGAAGCGCATGTGGCGCGGTGGTCGGAGGCGCTCTGCAACACACACGTGGGATCGATCCCTACGCCCATGGCTCACCATGTCTTCCATCCCTTCGGTATCGGCAAATTGGTATCAGACTGGTCTGGTAGGATAGCAACACTGGCCGTATACAACGGTAGCTCACGGCGAGTTATTGTAAACGCCAGGTATGCATTCGATTACCTCCAAACGATGCTTAATGAAATCGAATTCATGGCGCATCCATCAGCGATTGATCATCGCTGAGAGCTCTATCCTTTTATACTTTTATCATAATAACTGCACAAGGTTTCACTTAGTCAATACAACAATGAATCCTCGTTGTTTTAAGCTAAACAAAAAATGCCATTAAGTGGCAGCTGATTACAGCGCTGTTCTTCAAAGCGAGCAACGATTTCCATTACTTAGTGCCTCGACTGAAATGTGAACGAATCCAGTTTCTTTACAAAGCCAAGACGAAAACACCATTTGCAACCGACAATTCTGTTTTCCTCCTCTCAAATCAAAGAGTTCATTCAATAATCGATTTTCCTTGTCAAAATTCCTCTTTAGAGTTTAGATAGACTTTTTTTACACTTACTACAGTATGCAATTTTGGTGACACGGTGCGCAAAAAAGTAGGACTACCAAGTGGCTTGTGGATAGAAATTCGTTTACCCTTTGTTTTGAATCAACCGACACCAATAATCTCTACCAGCTTTTCTTCGTACGCTTCCATTCTTCACATGACATTTGAATGGGCACTGTCCAATAATTTTTTCCAAATATCAAAAAAGGATACAGGAAGCGCAATTTCTAGCGATTCTTTCGCAGTACACCTCTGGTTCTTGATTCGATTCCACCCAATCTCAACCAAGTCTCCCATCTCTCTGGAATTGGCAAAATAGTAGGCAGATTTGTAGTTGTGGTTGCTTCAATCCACAAAAGCCAGAGAGGCTTATGGTGAAGACTTGTCTGTAATAAAGCTCTTCCAATGGAAGACAACAAATCGAACGGTAAAACCGTTGGAATCCGTACAATATGGGAAGTCATGTCATATGAATGAAGAAAATACAAGAAATGGAAAAGAACAAATAAGAGATCGAAAAAAAGAAAATGAGCACGAATAAGTGAAACAAACCTCCTACTGGAGCACTAAATGTGCACGCAACGCCGACAGCACAACCTGCTGCCAGCATTTCGTTCGCCCTCGATTCATTTTCGAATGCACCAGAACTTGGAAGAAAACGACTTAGTTGATTAGCGACAACCGACGCGATGTGTACGAAAGGACCCTAAAAATGCTTTAGAAGGAATAAGAATTAAAAACGAAAACAGAAGAACGCTTTATAATGAGTGGAATGATCGGTGCAAGAATTCGACGATGATGGAAACTTGCTCGGTTAACATCCGCAGCCATCATCGGTTAAACGGCCGGTGATCTGTTATCTACAAGCTTGTAACTGATCGTCTCAATAAGGCTGATCAAGTTGGAGTGGAACAGGCAAATTACAGGCTGATTACAGGCAAATGATAAGGAGATGAAAAGCTGAAGCGTTTGGTATCGATCACCAACCCTTAGATATGCGTCATGCAACTGACTCCATTTATGGCACCGTCCACTATTTTATTCGTATATATGGTGCGGGTCATAGTTTTCACGTGGAGCGGAGTCGAGCCAACGACCACGTTTGTAAAGGACGCCTCTAGCGACTGTATTATATGAGCCCTAACGATCATATATATACGATTAAGAGACTATCTGGATTTTTCGTAGATCAAATCTGTCGTTTTTAGCTTTTCTTTGATATGTCATGCTTTAATAAAGTCTTTGTACCCGCTGAGAAGCAGACGGAGCAAGCACTCATGAAAACATTATACCTGGGCAACGTATTTAGCATTATAAGCTTTACAGCTTCAATACTTGACAACGATATCATTGACAAACCCAGTGATATAACAATGGAGTAAAAATCAGTATCTGACAGCCGCTGTATCATTACTTCTGGTAACCTGGACGACGCGTGTTGAAAGACATTTCTTTGAAAATTTTTCAGTGCTCATGCAAAAGCAAGGAACAATTTTCGTAGAACAACTACACTTTTCACACAAGTAACAAAATATAAAGGTCACCTCTTTGCCAACAGGTAGTCCACTGCCAAGAGATAGAGTGAGAGCGATCATTTTCGAAATAAGTGTTCGAATTGTCAGGTATTCTTTCAGGACCATTCCACGGAGAATCGTCTTCATTTCTGGTATTCCCGAACCTGTCACAAAATAAGCTTAATAAAAATTGCTTTCAATCTCGGATTTAGTTTTTCAGAGTCAAAACCATTGTGATTAGAATTGGATAAGCGACATCTGACGAGCCTCAGACTAAAATTACTTCAGAGAAGGAGCATATCATCAACTTCGTGAACAAAGAATCTCGCTAGCAAAAATCTGTATAATTCAGCGGATTTTACTCTAATCGATACGTTCCACTATCAGAGGAGAAACAATTGCTCGAATTGAAGAGCTGGGTCGACCTCGAAACCATTTAAGTCATATGTAACTCATAACTGCGATCTACGTGTGGCTCATAACTGAGCGCTATGTTAGGAAATGTGTCCCAAATTGAAACCAAGCATGAAAATTAATTTTTAATAGCTTTAAAGCGTTTAAAATTATTCGCTATAGCGCCGATCAAAAACTTTAACTATTGGAAACACGAGCGGAGAGCAAATAATATGATTAAATGAAAAATTGGCGTCTATTTAACTTCCCTGCTAAAGTTCGCAATGCTTCTCCCGTTCTTTCGGGAGCTTTCAAAAAGAGCTGGAATATTTCCAAATGTTCTTATACGAAGATTTCTGGCGCTCTGACAGGAAAATCTGTCAACAAAAAAAGTTCTTCTGTAATTTCTCATCAAAACTAAATAAACAATCTCAACTTTTAAATGAAAACGACTTCTTCCTCTAATCATCAACGAGTAAACGAGTTTGGAACAAAGAAAACAAAACTTCTATCACAAAAATTTCTTCGTTCTGTTTCTTTCTCTTTCGTTACCTATGGCTTGAGGCGCTATGTAGTGAGCGCACAGCGCCGAAGCACAGGTGAGCAGGACGGCGTACGTCGTCCATACGACAAACGATACCACCCAGACTGGATCGTCCCGAAAATGCCGATAAAGTGAGATACGACCTGAAATCACGAAGAGCAGCTTCCAACCGATCTTCTACTTATTTTTTAGTGTTTTTATTACAGGGAGCTTTATAGATATGTTTTCATTAACAAGAATTCATTACTCATTTCCTGGTGTTAGGGTTTTCTCAGGGTTTTCCAAATATTTTTCCAATGTGTCACAGTGCAACGGATATAAAGCGATATGAAATTAGCACCCTTTCCTCATAGCCCAGTTGTTCTACAAATGTTAAGAGTGATTTTGATTTCTAAAGATGAGCTAGCGATGTTAAAATTACGCTAACAGAATCGAGTTTTCATGAAAGAACTTAAGTGGTGAAGATGAGAATTAAACTGGCACTTTGTTCACTGGGAAAAACGTGGTAGCAAAGCTATCTCAGGATTCGTAGGAGACTAAAGTCGACCAACATTATGCGACTTTCATGAAGAAGACTGTCTTCAAGTAAAAACAGAACGCAAACCGGAATCAAAAAATCCTCGTGGGTGATGGATGAAAGATAAGGACCAGAATGAAAAGAATGCTGGCATCTATAGAATATTTTAAGTTAGGTTATATACAAATAAAATAGTGAGCGATAAAATTATGCCGAAATGTTGAGCAGGACTAGTTTTCTAGTGGTTTAAAGTGTTTAAGCCTACGATTTTAGGGCGGCGCTGAAGAATTCCAAAAAGAAAACATCAAATAGGCAATGAGCTTAAAATGCAATCAAGAACGAGAAAAAAGGCACGGGTGTCTCCTTGTTAACCTTTTATTTGCTGTCTAGTATAATTTTCCATGGAAGGGTATGACGAGAACTACAACTACAACGATGCTGAGATATTCGCAAAGCTTGGACCTCGGGCCAGATCGGACCACAATTACCCTTTCCGGGAGCTCGAGTATTACACACTGCCACTGAGGTCCTCGCTTTGCGTTTCTCTTACCTAGCTAACGCCCCCACCAGCAATCAGTAGCTGAAAGAAACGCGGTGGAAGGTTCTCAGTGGTGCAGCGTATAATACGTGAGTCCCTGGAATGAGTAATCGTTGTTAGATCTGGCCTGGGTTCAATGTTTTGCGAATACCTCAGCTATTACCTTTGTATCATCTTTTTCTGCTATCGTTTCATCTTCTAGCATGGCTTGAGGATAACTATTTTTACAAAACAGTCAATATTAATGACATTTTTGCAAATTTTTGAGACACCGAAAAAAAAACGACAACGGGTGAATGAGTGAGTGTTCATTCGGCGTCAGAGCCTAGATGTGATTATGGCAATTTTTGTCACGAAAAAAATGAAAACGGCTTCTGAACGTGGTTGAGACCGAAAAACGCTCTCGGAACACAACGACAATAACAAGCCAGAAGCTGATGAAAACCAGTGGCGAAACACTTCAACAAGGAGACCAAAAAGATCGATAACGAAACACTTCAAAAACGTGTGGAGATTAATGACAGTATGCATTCTTTCTTGATAAGCTTGCACGAGGTTGATAAATATATTTATTTTCGGCTAACGTTTCGACGTCTTCGTCTTCCTCAGAGCCGATGATCCGAGTCGATGGTCCATGATTGTTGTTCGTCTCGACGTTGCAGCTTCGCCTTCGTGTCGAGCCAGGTCTTCCTCAGTGAGCCATCTTCTCGAATCGAATGAGGCATCCTCACTCAGTGATGCCCTTTTATATCCACCATCAGCATCGTGTATAAAAGGGCATCACTGTGTGAGGATGCCTCATTCGAGAAGATGGATCACTGAGGAAGACCTGGCTCGACACGAAGGCGAAGCTGCAACGTCGAGACGAATAACAAGAGAGGATCATCATCGACTCGGATCATCGGCTCTGAGGAAGACGAAGATGTCGAAACGTTAGCCGAAAATAAATATATTTATCAACCTCGTGCAAGCTTATCAAGAAAGAATGCATATTGATTAGTCACACCGAGGTTCAGGGAAAGTCGGTTTCGAAATATTAATGACAGTAATGAACCAGAAGACCTTGAAGACGGGACAGGTGAAGATATAGTACAGGTGCATGTAAGTGGAAGTGAACAAAGGGAAGAACAGTGAAATAAAAGTGGAAGAAGTGCACTTTCTAGGATGTGAGGTAGTTTTTCCGCATGATTCTTTACAGTCGGTGAACATTTTCTTTGGCAAAAAAAAAGACCAAAAGGATTCGAAATGTCGAATGTATCCCTGATGTCCGAAAATCCTAAAGGAAAACCACCAAATCGAATAGAATTTCGTGCTATAAACAATCAGAATCAAAACGGGCTTAAAAATTGGACAACTTCTTAAGCATTTCTTTGCACGGATTGCAGTACCGGTAGAATAAACTGTGACCATTCAGCTCATTAACATATGATTGCTCCAAATGGTCCAGAAAAAAGCGCGACAATATTTATTGATTTTTAGTTAACGGGACAGAAATGCGCTGATATTTTTTGCGTTGTTTTAGCGCCACGTGTTAAATCTACTGCTTTCATTAACAGTGGATGATACTAAAACCAAACATAACGATTGCTTGGGAAAAGTCGGCTCCTTCCCTTCAAATTTAGCACATAATGAAGAAAAAAACAGACTTATAAGTCTTATAAGTATGAAAAATAGTAATGAACAACGAAACTGACCGTCTTGAAGTTTCGAGATCAAAATATCCATAGTAAGTGAAAAAACAGCCATTATTAATCCGAGTAATCCGAGAAAAACCCATTCTTCCACAGCAAATTTAAAAACTTTGATAATTCGGGCTGAAAAGAATAACCTTAACAGAATTTAACGTATTATTTACTGTCTATTCTTTCTAACGGCAGGGTATAGATTGTAAAATATAACTTCAATGATGCTGAGATATTTGCAAAACTCCGGACCGCAGGTGTATGCGGTGGGGAACGAACACGCGCTGTTGTCCTTACCGGGGAGCAGCGCACTTCACCACCACACCATCCGGGTCCTTCGTTCTGCCTGTCTCTCAGCGGTCCAGGACAACAGCGCGGGTTCGTTCCCCACCGCATACACCTGCGGTCCGGAGTTCTGCAAATATCTCAGCATCACTAAAGTTATATTTCACAACCTTAACAGAATTTAAACAGTAAACAAACAACACCAGTAGTTGTTTCCTTAACATTTCCCACTTCCAAATGCGGAAAATTTAAAAGGTGTTTAAGAATTGGAGAGAAGCACTAGGCCGTTCTGAAAGAGCATCGAAACATCGACATACCAGGGCTGCTGCAACATTCAAAAAGTGGTCGCTGTTGTGAAGCCGACTTCGATTCTGACGACCGGCTGACTACGGAATCTTCAGATGGATGGTTTTTCTGGAACTATGACAAAAAAATACTAAAAAGTAAAACAGAATGGTTCATTCATTATATTTATTTAATTACGCGATTCGATTTCACACATTGTACGTGTCTCAGGAATTTTCCCTTTGGTCTCTCATCCATGAAGGCCTTTAAAATTTCTAAAAGAGTTCGTTTTAGGAATGGCCAGTTTATGACTTTGTCCCCTTCATGCATGTTGATTCTCTTTAGAATTCTAGGATACCTCTCTAAAGTCTTCTCAAACCTTCATCACAGACAGTGTTCTGGTCAGAATGGAGCTTTTTCTAGAGACCGAGAGGACTGAGAGCAATTTGCCTATTAAACGCTTGGTTGAGGAAATGTGGGGTTAAACGAACTATATCGTCCGTGTTGCATTGAATTACACCTCTCGCCACAACACCTTCCGTGTCCAGTAGATTTACAAAGCATTATAAGTGGTAACCTTTTGTCTACACATGCACAAAAATTGCCCCATGTAGCTTTCGTCTTCGCTGTTGTTTTCGTTTTCGTCTTCGCCGTCGTCGTCGCCGTCGTCTCCGCCGTGTTTCTAAAGATAACGATTTCTTTATACATGTAAAAATACTCAAAAGGTCATATCGTTAGCGCGCTTTCGACCTGTAAAATTTTTCGAAATAGCATTTATAATCCGCGTGAAGAAGGAAGGCTTTGAAAAGGTCTGACTTTAATCTGTAAACCCATTTCCAATTCGATTCCGTAGTTTGCTATGTAGATTTAAGATATTGATAACAAGGTTTTCCAGGTGCCTGCATAAATTAGAAGGCTTTCTAGTGCCGTATC